TGATAGGACTATGAGCTTCCCGCATGAACGAGTCAAAGTTAGGGTCTTAATAGCGGAGACTGTTGCTAGTTATATTTACACATGTTACACAATGGCATATGTAACCACACATACTTCACCCAGCAATGTTACACAATGGCATATGTAACCACACATACTTCATGTACAACCGGTAGTGTAGATGAGGATCAGTGTTGTTACCTTCAGGTAACTTAGGGTAAAGTTCCGGTAATGCCTTCAGGCCTTACTCTTAGTGCAATGCAGATAATAATATATATGTAAGATATTTTTGGACATGTGGATGAAGGTTCAGTTGGTTTTTAAATCACTCGAATCTATAGCCTGGTTAAAAAAAACCAGTCTGATCGAGTCTGGTATGAGTTTCTTTGAAAACGTGTTAAACCTAATCATAATTGAATTCCATTAAAAATAACAGATGACTGAATCCAGAATACACATTCAGATTTATTTTCACAGCAAGTGCAGATTGTACAGATTTTCCTGAATCATTCTGTGAACATCCTCACTGGCTACTGCAGGCAGCCACGTCAGCCTCAGGAAAGACAATAACCCGAATGACTTCCCGGGGAAGGTAACAGTGTTTCCTTCCGTCCTCTAAGGTTTCAGCTCTGGCAGCGTATTATTGACAAGCTTTAGCGGGTTGTTGTTCAGGGCCACAGTTCTGAGATGGTGAAGACTGATTATGAACTTTACATGATAATTGTATATTGTATTTTTCCTGAATAATATTTGAATGTAGAAGTAGTAAGTGTTGTAATGGTCACTCATATTACGTTTCAACTGATTTTCCGTGGTTTTCTAGAAGAAACTACTTCATTAACATTCTCTTCACACAGAGGTTACTCCTGTCATATCTTCCTACGTAACCTCTGTTCTAATACGGCCATATTTTCCGGTTCTCGTAAAATCCCCTAGCGGCAAAAGATCGCAACACGAATTATCTCCCTTCTTTCTATCCAATCAGAACACGTGTTAAATCGACTTAGATTCAACTTGACTAACACAAGCAAATGTGAGGCCACAAATATCCCCCATCTGCCGGGGACTTGTGTTGATGTTACACACAAGACGTTTAATGGCTAACTTGTCCGTTGTCAACAAGGGCGATGGAGACGCCACTGATCCACCATAACATGACTGAGTTCTGTCTAGAAGAAACGTTTGCGCATCGCGCAGGGGAAGAAGTTTAGTTTTCTGGAAGTTTACGGAAATTACCGAAGCCTTGCGAATGATCATTTTTGAAACAACGTCGCTGATTGCACAACTAAATCTGATTATGTCCAATCACGAGTCTTGAACGCTCACGTCATGAAAGGGCCGTATTAGAACAGAGGTTACGTATAAAGATATGACAAGTAACCTCTGTGGGAAGAGAATGCTTCATTAAATGTATCACGTATATAATCAATCTAAACTCTCGTAGTGGAAACACACCGATAATTTGTCAACCTATTGGTGTTAACCAGAGAGCGTCTGTAGGTTGACAGGAGGAACTATTGACCAGTGTGATGTGAACCAGAAGACGACTTGTCTAGGGGATGACACTTACTTGCCTGTGAGTCCATCGACTGGCGTCAGCCAGAACATATCTACAGGTTGGTCGGGAAATTGTGGAAACGTAATTGAGGTAGTGTTATCTGTGGGCAGCAGGAAGTACATCGTCACACTACCGGGCATGTAGCCATAGGAACTAAAACACAACACTATGTATTAGAGTATACCTCGACTTTGCATGAACATGAATCAACACCCATTATATTTGCTCTTATACTTAGTATTGAGTATCATTCTAATCTTAAAACGTGCATTACAATGAAGGAAAATATGAATACTTGACAGCTTTATATTTACACATATATCTCAGTAGAATGTTCTGTATCGACAATTGGTTAAACCTGTGATTATGCAATTTACATGGATGGCTTTGTGCAGTGGGCGTAGGCTCTGATGGTGCTGTTGTTCACTCTCGCCTCCACTGAAAACACAGAACCCCCGACCAGTCTCTTATACAAGACAGTTAACCAGTTGTCCTGCAGATGAAGACGTGAATAAAACAAACTCAATATATTCTGTCATTAACATACAAGTAAGGATAAACCATGTTTTGCCACGTTAAACGTTCACTTCAGCATGTTGTTCAAAATGTTGAATGTAGTGACATTTTCGTAAAATGTGTCTTTGAAATGACCGATCAATGTTACAGCTCAGTCCGTGTGAGCATTTTGTTTTCTGTTGGACTCCGTCTGCATCTCAGAGGAAACGATTATCTTCTACCGTTATCATTATCCCCTGTACCTAATCGTAGTATATATGTTCTATTAATTTGTGGCTAGATTATCTAAAATTACTCATATCTAAAGGGATGGTGTAAATCCAGCTAGGGTCCATGCAGGAAGTAAATGTATCGTAAGTCCCCATGGTCCCTAGTATGGTGATCTACCTTCAGTTGTTGGCAATCCATAACCTGGCTTTATATTGTATTGTTATCTAAAAATATCGGTTTATGATAACATGCTAGTTTTACTTTAATATCTGTGATACACTAGTAGTTTTACTGTTCTTCGTCAACAAGCTTTTAATTTTTACTTTTATTGTTCTCTAATACAATAATTAATTGCTCACGTCACGATATGGCTGAACTATTGCCAAATTGACTTTAAATTTTAACTCACTTACTCTACTGTACTTCACTATTAACTGTTGTGAAACCACGTGTGATACGGTTTGAAAGTATGACAGTTTATGACCAGGAATATTTATAAGGCCAGATTAGTGAGTGATTATTGCTTAACGCAGCATCAGCAATCTTGCACAATCACTACATGGTGGTTCATCGAGATACATGTATATCAGTCAACATACTTTCACTAGTGTTACTATCTGTTCTGTGTGTCAAGCCAGTCAGGACTAAACCTTTGATCCTGATTCGCGCATAGCTACAAAAACGTTAATACTGGAGAATATCTGGGTTTGATTTTCAAACATATGCCATATGGCGTGAAGGCCGCATGGCGGTGAATTCTTTTTTTTTATCAGAGGTTTTAAAGATGACCGAACTTTTATTTGTCTTGTCCTAATAATAAAAAATCGCAAAACTCGTTATGAATTATATTCTCATGTTTCTGGTCATATTCTATTCTTCTCAGTTAAATTCAATAAAGGTAGGGGAATGACAATTATAAAAAAATCACGTGTTTCTAGATAATTCTCCTGGTCCCACACTGACCAAACAAGAGAATAGTGCTCGATGTGGACCGATATTTTAACGCGATTTAGGCCACTTTATCAAGTAACAATTACAAAATGATTAAGTGTTATACATATTTACTTGTAAATAAGAAACTATTATAACCTTCACAAGCCTAAAAGCACATAACAGGATATGAACACACAGAAATGTATGGAAATGAAATAATATGTTACAGAACTTATTTCGTTGGTAGGTTTGATGGTAAGTTTTCATACACTTGCTTATTCAACTGCATTGCATACAAAATCAGTTACAGAGTTGAGACATCTTGAAAACTTCACCCCCAGATTGAAATTTCTTTCAGTGCTTAATATATTTCATGCGTGAACAACATAGTCAGTGAAGTTGCAACGGAACAGTGGTTTGACGTTATGATAATGAGCTACTGCCAACACAGCAAATACCCGCAAAGACATCAATGTTTTCAAGGGGTAAAAAGGACAAGTGGTTGTTACATATTGATGCAACATATCTGTGGGCTTGGTGCGTTTTGATGCTTCCATATCCTTTGCTGTATAACTAACATATCAGGTCAAAATCAGTAAAATCAGAGATTTGTATGATGCCTGAAAATCCACAAAAAGTCATATTGAAATAGAATCCATAAAGAAAACGGAAACAGGTATTCTCTATACATAAAGGCAATGGATCAAAGGTGTAAGTGTCAATCAGTGCATAGCTTCCAGCGTAGAAATCCTGTCTGAGAACTGCTTTCAGCCCCATCCTAGCAGCAATACCAAGCTTGTCCAGCCACCTGGACAGTGTACACTTTCAAAAGGCGGTGTAGATATTCCATTTTCACACTCACACGTCTATTCAGTTACTAGTACTTTGCAAAAGTGCTTACATTAAAAGTCAAATCCTATCATTGATTCCTAAATATCATTTCGGAAAGAATTATTACGAACGGACGCCATTCATTATTATGCGAGTATAGGTGATTAAGGTACGATGTGGACAATGTTTACTATATGCTGCTGTCTTACGTACAGAAACCCAGCGACGTATCTGTCGGAGATTCCCGGGGCACCGCCACCATAACCAGAGGATGTCTCTCCCAGCCAGACTGGGGTGAGTGAGTTGGTGCGTCTTGACACATTCAGCCCTGTCTCCATAATACTGACCAGGTAGTCCATCAACTTGGAATCGGTAAAATTAGAGAGCTGTGCAGTATGCCCATTGGTGTAGTATCTGTTCGAAACAAGGGTAGGCTTGATAGCAATGTTTCATCCACCTTTTATGGTTGTAAATATCACAAACACATAATAACATTATTTAGCCGCATATTATTCCATCATTTGACACATGTGAAGATGAAATTCAAAGATTGATGAAATACGTTTTATATTTCACGTGTGAAGGAGCAGATGTGAATTCTCATAGATTAAAGTGTGGTGATGTTTCAGGTATTACATTCCAAAGTGTATTCAAAAGAAACAGATCAAAACCTTTCAGGGACTACAAATATATTCCGACCATTACTGAAAATGAAATATCAAATCAGGGTTAGTAGGCTCAAAATCTTAAAAATCCACAGTAAAGAATCGAGCAGTTTAGAACATATCATAGATACCAAAATCAACCTGCTGGTGAAAAGTTATCCTGTCTACGGCTTTGTCCCCACCTCCTGTGAAGAAACTGGAAACAAGGTGGAGTTAAATTGTGAGTGTGAAGTGCGGTAATAGGTCATTTGTTCATAACGACTGTTCATTTAGATAACTGCAAACCATTAATCAAACTCCACATTCTTTAAGATCAAACACCAACTGATGAATCCGTTCGGGACTGTTTACAAATGTATGCTGAGGTTAGCTCTTGTGTCAAACTCCACATTGTTAAGTCCGTCATCAAGCGACGAATCCGCAGTTACAAATGTAACAAAGGTGACAACTAGCTCACAAATGTAAGTTGAGGTTAACTCTTGCGTCAATGATTTTCAATGGTGATTTGACTGATGCTCCACGTATGTCCAATGTTTGTTGGTACGTTCATGGACTCAACTTCCAGATGAAAGAACTCACTCAGCAAAAACTGTGTTCTATGCCCATTACAGACGCCACATCAGGTCCAATTACTGGTGTTACCGCATATCCTGGTGTCGTTCTGAGCAACTTCTTGAAGTTGTAGAAGTCCATACCCAACTGACTGCCATTCACAGTGATGTTATATTGCTCAGGAAATATGTCAGGTTCTGTAAAAATAGCATAAGAGAACATAAGAGGAACGCTATTTTCAAGTCATTCATAATAGTGGGACCTGTACCCTGATTTTCAAGAGCCGTTGCACAATTTCCCGGGGAATATGTCAGGTTCTGTGCCAATTAACACTTTTTAGAATATATTGTTCTAGACATTACATGAAACGAAATTCTCAAGTTATGGATTATTGTTGAAATTGACATTTGGAACAAATTCTTTTTAGTGAAGGAACATGAGTACGAAATTAGTAACAAAAGTGAGTATATCATTTTCGTAAACAAATGTTCAAATTCATCGTTTTAGCACATTGTCTTTAATCCAGTTATCACTTTTCTTTTGAATCCTATTCTTTTTGAAAAAATGCTGAAAGGCTTGTATCCCTGAATTTGTTTATATACATAAATATGTTAATTTCTAAAATTAATGAAAAGGAACATAAACAGATTTGCAAAGTTTGGAGACATTCTATGTAAATTAATTCGCTATGTTGAATTCGAGTGATTCTAAAGAAATATAATGGTAATGTTATGTGTTCATCTATATGGTTACTTTAATACCATTTCCAAGTTCAAGGCCTGCCAGTTGGTACCCCTTTTCACTGTTGTATTGCAGCAGTTCTTTTGCGTTGGTAGGATCCCAGTGACCCTCCTTCCTCTTCAGTACGTTCAGAACAAATATAAACTTCCAGTTGACATCCCGGACAAATGTATTAACAGTATCCCAGGTAGCTCCTGCAGACATAACATACCTAACGATAGTGAGATCACCAAATACTTATGATGTTCGAATATTAGGAGCATCTTTAATCCTATTCCCAAAATACTTAACTGTTTTGGCCTCCTGGATATGCACATGTGCAACAGCTCGACAAACTATATATAGTATGAGTAGATTTACGCGCCAGTAAATGCACGGTTGATGTCTACTTTGCTATGACCTGTAGGGTCAAAGGTCAGACTATCACCCTCAGATAGCATGGGGGACAAACCTCTAGCCAGGGTCTGAACTTTCTGAGAGGTGGAGTAAAACAACATTGTGGCATAGTTGATGCACCTGATAGTTTCCAACGTCCTTGTTGATATACGCATTCATAGATGCAGATTTAAATTTATTTATTTATGTATACTTACAAATGTCTGTATCATGACCAACTATACCGTATACAAATAGATACACGCACCTGTAAATGTATGATTGACATCTGCTGTGCCATGACCTGTAGGGTCAAAGGTCAGGCCATCACCCGCAGTTCCTCCAATCCTCAGATAGCATGGAGCCAAACCTTTAGCCAGGGCCTGAACTTTCGGAGAGCTGGAGCACATGGGATATAACAATATAATACGTTCATAAATAAACGAATGAGCACGTTCACCCCTATCCACGTCGAGGCAGAAACAAAGATTTGATATACACCATATCTCTAAAAGTGTGACAAAGTGTCAACTAGTGGAATTAATCTGAAGGTTGGTGGCTTGGTTGATGTCATTTAACTCCTTTTAAACGTGTGCACGAATACGACAATGAATTATTAGTTCTGAAAATGAGACCAGAATTCAAAACTATGAATTTGTTGAATTAAATTATCACGAAGCGTGATTAATATCCCATTTCTGTTTTTCAAATGTTTGCATAAACAAGATTGTAAATGGGACGTGCCCATATACACGAGTATACGTGTGTCCAGAATTCTAATAATTAACTTACGAAAAGAATCATCAACATCTGTTGACTTCTATGCCGGTCACCTTGACCTACTTACTTGAAGTCCAATCCTTCCCAGTGCTTCGGGGCGGGCAGGAGATGGGCGTCCAGAGTGACGCCAATGAATAAGTCATCAATAAATGAAACTACTTGCGTTGTTATAACTGTGACGGTGACATTGACTCCTCTCGTTGACGTGTGGGATATGAAGGTGGTGACCAATGTTAGAGCTGACAGTGTTACCTTCATTGTCTCAAGGTTGTAAAGTGAATGTATGTCACACTTAATCTGTATTTATGTGTGATCTCTTGTTATCTGAGATGGTTTCATATAGACTGTGTTGTGTCGTTATTTCCAATATTGTGTCTGTAATGGGTAATATATTCTGGTTGTGACACTTCACAGTCCAAGTAACCATACAGAGAGTGTTTTGGTCGTTGCAAGATAGATCTTACTCCGTCAACACTCCGTCAAATGATCAGCCAAGTTTGAAACATCGGTCGTACCATTACATTTCCTTCCAAACAAACGAAAATAATAAGATTCCAGGGACTCGTTTTGCCCCCAATTTTCATTTGGTTTCTCGTTCGTAACAGTGGTGGAAATTTCCTGTCAAATTATAGTTCCGTTTGCCCCAAGAACTTTCATTTTACTGAACGTTTAAGTCGTTATACTAATTGTCAAGGACAAATATGTATGTCTTTTTCCTAGAAGCACAGTGAATACAGTGTGTGTGTGAGCTGCAAACAGGCATGAGTGGCTATTTAATTGTTGGATGTTGTATCGACATTGTAATGTCATAGTGTCGACTTTGTAATGTCTTAGTGTAAACCTTTAATGTCATGGTGTGGACCTTTTAATGTCATGGTGTGAACCTTTAATGGCATAGTGTGGACCGTGTAATGTCATGGTGTCGTCCTTGTAATGTCATGGTGTCGACCTTGTTATGTCTCGTTTTCTTGACATAATTTTCTTCTTTATCGACTCAAGCTTTGAAGATGATTATTCAAATTTGTTAGAATATCACTGGTGGTGAATGTTTTGCGCATCGTCAGATTCTAAATGCATCCACAGCATTTAATTGTTGGATGTTGTATTGTCATTGTGTCGACATTGTAATGTCATGGTGTGAACCTGTAATTTCATGGTGTCGACCTTGTTATGTCCTGCTTTCTTGACATGAATTTCTTTATCGACTCAAGCTTTGAAGATTACTATTCAGATTCGTTGGATTATCACAGGTGGTGAACATTAGTCATTGTGATTCATGATAAAATTGTGTTCAAGTTATATAAACGAGTGCCAATAAGAAAGTATGCAGTTTGTTTCCCCGAACTTGATAAGAAAAAAAACGCATATATAAATGAACATCTGTTTAATTTCGATAGAGTATTCAATTCTACAGCAAATGCACTCAAGTTCATTTCACTGACAGACACATGGTATCAGTCAAGTCAAAGATGTTTATTGTACAAAAGGCCTCCGGCCCATATACATTATATATATGGTGCAATAAGTAGTAATTAGTGATCCAAACAGCAAATCATGATACAGGCAGTAAATTATGTACAAGTAGTGAAATACGATGGACATACAATGTTTTTTATCAGATTGTTACGTTTAATAAGAGCATAATTGATATAGTACGACAGCTTTATTATTACATGCTGGTCAGTTGATGAAAGAAGTAGTTTAATAGTCTGATGTCTTGTTCAAAGCTGGGAGTAGCATACCTAGACAAGTAGGCAGTATCCCCATGGGTACTATTTGTGTCCTGTTTCGCATAGGAATATGATTATATTGTTTACTCCGTTTTGTTAATCAAAGAAAAGACACGTTGCCAAAAGGTTAAAGACTGAAATGTCCATACGACCTCATTTATTTTCATGAAAAATGCCAATATTTAGAGAAATCTTCGACTAATCCGTCAGGTTGGTTATCTGAGAACCAACAGGAAAAACATATTAAGTGTCAAATCCTCATTTAATTGATGCATAGACATAGTTATTCCAATCATGGCGTTCCCCTCGTATCGAACAATACACGCCGTCCATATTTCTCAGTTGCTTGGAAACATTACATGTTGTTCAAATTGTATGAAAGGCAAACAATGGCATTGTCATCGGACGGCGTGGATCAGTCTTCATTACATCAGTCACTGGCTTTTGCCACTATCTACGGATAGTGGAGTACGCTTTATGGTCTGCACACATGTAGGATAATGGTCCTTTATTTTATAGACACATGTACATTGATATCTCACACACAGGTACAATATGTACAGCTGGACAGGGTCTCATAATAAATTACACCAAGCACTCATTCACAGATACCTCCAAAGTGTCTGGATAGGTACATTTCTAATAGACTGTCATATCCCATATATCGTCAAGGTGCGGAACACATATGATATTATTCTGCAGATCCATGTGTAATAGTTTGTCATGTAACACAGAGGAAAACAGTCACTTCAGGGACATGGACAGGAAACATATCTACGTGAACACTGTCTCTTTCTGAAACATACCATCTTTCCATGTGTCTTTATGGCCAACCCTTAAGACCCTTAATTATTATTACTACGTTAACACTGTGTCTTTCTGAAACATACCATCTTTCCATGTGTCTTTATAGCCAACCCTTAAGACAGATCTGACCATGTTCAGGACAGTTATTTTTGCAGGTGCCCTTTTCACTAACCGATCATTATATTACTTCCCAACATATTACCTGTATAGAAATTGATAGGGTTTTGTAGCTTTCATTTCTATTATTTACAAATTTGTCTTGATCTTATCTGTTTAAAGTGCTTGTTTATTCCAATATACGACATGCTATCAGGCTGTATTTTGAAATAAAATCCAAAGGTGCATGACATGTGTTTAGAAAATAGGTTTCTATTTTAAAGATGACATGTTAATACAGGCAGGAAGTCAAACTTAGCATTAATAAAGCCGATCCTTGAAACTAAGAAACATGATATCAAGGTGGTAGTTAGATAGCAAATCAAACACTAGAAGGCACTGATATACATATATGCATTAGAATTCATGCAAGTTGTGAAACACGCATCTGGACTGCCTTATCTATTGCCAAGGCTTGGTAGCACCTGCTATCTTTCGGCACCACAGAGCAAGGGCACTTTACCCTCCTACAACAGGGAAACAGTTAACATGACCATGGATATGATCTTCCTGTGTTTATTTGGACTGGCTTGGATACAGCCGTTTACTGTGTCCCTGCACACCGAACATATCAGAGTTAAAAGTAACCACGTGTTGCAGGTGATAGATGACATGTTTGTCGGGGTTAACATTGACAGCGGTCGGCTGAGGTACAATCTGAAGTTTCACAATGTAAGGTAGGCATAACATCTGTGCAAACATGTCTGTTCATTTTGTTACATAGATTACGTTACTTGATAGAAGGGGTTGTAGGCAAGTCCTGTTGATAGGTGGAAATGATTTAACATATATTTAGGGTCATTAGAATCCATATTAACAAAATGCGACAAAATGCGATGACTAACATAATTTTTGTCAGTTATATGTGAAATTCTATAACCTTCTCTACACGCCTACCCTAAAACGTTTGGCGGTCTTTGAACTCTGTTTTGAAAGAGACTGGTCTACTGAACACTAAAGTTGTGAAATTTAGACACCAAGGTTAGAACTGTTAAAATGTTGCTAGACAAAATAGGAAAAACCGAAGTCATCATTCTGGTTATAGATTCACATCAATAGGTTATGGATCCACATCGATACGTTATGGATCCACATTTATAGGTTATGGATCCAAATAGATTGGTTATAGATCCACATAGATAGGTTATGGATCCACAAAGATAGGTTATAGATCTACATAGATAGGTTATAGATCTATATAAATAGGCTATGGATCCATATAGATACGTTATGGATCACATACATAGGTTCTGGATCCATATAGATAGGTTATGGATCCACATAGATAGGCCATGGATACAGAGAGATCGGTTATAGATTCACATTGATAGGTTATGGATCCACATAGATAGGTTATGGATCCACATAGATAGGTTATGGGTCCACATAGATAAGTTATGGATCCATATAGATAGGTTATAGACCCACATAGATAGATTGTGGATCCACATAGATAGGTTATGGATTCACATATATAGGTTATAGAACCACATAGATAGGTTATGGATTCACATATATAGGTTATAGAACCACATGGAAGGTTATGGATCCACATAGATAGGCTATGGATAACATATACAGGTAATAGATCCATATAGATAGCTTATATACTCACATAGAGAGGTTATGGATCCATATAGAAAGGGTTATGGATCCACATACATAGGTTATAGATCCATATAGATGGGTTATGGATCACATAGATACGTAATAGATCCATATAGATAGGTTATAGATCCACATAGATAGGTTATGGATCCACATAGATAGGTTATGGATCCATACAGATAGGTTATCGATCTATATAGATAGGTTATGGATCCAGATATTAGGTTATGGGTCCACATAGATAGGTTATGGGTCCACATAGATAGGTTATGGGTCCACATAGATAGGTTATGGGCCCCATAAATAGGTTATGGATCCACATAGATAGGTTATGGATCCATATAGATATGTTATGGATCCATATAGATACGTTATAGATCCACATAGATAGCTTATAGATCCACAAAGATAAGTTATGGATCCACATAGATAGGTTATGGTTCTATATAGATAGGTTATTGATCCACATAGATAGGTTATGGATCCACATAGATAGGTTATGGATCCACATAGATAGGTTATGGATCCAGATGAATAGGTTATAGATCCAAATAGATCGGTTACATATCCACAGCAAAACAAATACACAAGAATCACTTTCTTTACACACCTTGAGTCTTCTTTAGAGTGTGTTGTCACAAAGAATCTTATGCAAAGATCTAAATGTGATAGAGGATGTCCAACTGGTCTCCTCGATTTCTAGTTCACTTTGGGAAATCAGTGGTATATCCGTGGGAGCCGTGCCACTTAACGCTTAACAGAGGGGTACACAAAGCCTGCAGCCTAGACTACCAGTTGTCCAACTTCCATTTTTGTGGAAGTCGCGGTAGCTGAGCGGGTTAGGCGGTTGACTTTGTGTGCTGACGATTAGGTGCCTGGCTCTGAGGGTGTGGGTAGAATCCCTGATGGGGCTCAACTAAAAACAGTACTAGAATTTGTACTTTACTAAGAAAGTGTAATCCCGAATAAAACATATGTTACATTTGACCACTTTCTTAATGGCATTGTGTAATCACAGTGGAAGAGAGTTTGTTGCTATTTGATGACTGTTACATGGTAAATCCGAGGAGAATTTCGATTCATGTGTATAATGAAACAGAACAGCCAGAAGGGAAAAACACTAAGTACACTGCTTACTAACGAATTCCACTTCCAAATTCAATATAGATATTATGAATAAGGGAACCAGTCATTTCAAATACTGTGTTTTAATTCATGACGTTTGCTTTCATTTTTGGGTCTAGATTTCCTGAACAGCTAAACCAAATGAAATGTACACAATATTTAAGGGAAGCCATGTTTTTTCTCATTGATTGCGTTTCTGTCCAGCTTTATTATTGACCGCTCAATGATCATATAGCAAGTTACACCCACTCGTTGCTCCAAAACGCTGCAACTTATTGCTATGAGGACTGTAATTTGACTACCAGTGCATTTTGTTGAGCCTAAAAATATGTTTTTATCAACAGCTCTCCCAAACCGCTGGCCCTTGGAAAGGCTTTAGCACCCGGGTATCTGAGAGTCGGGGGCACATCAGGGGACTACATGGTGTTCGACCCGACTCACGACATTGCTACTGGACATCAGTTCTAGCTCCGAGGTGATAGCTGGATAGGATAGTCATATCTTCCAAAATGAACAACAATAAACAAATATAAACAACTTTACTTCAGTCCACTACTGTGCTGATACAAACGAGTCCAGATCGGACAATAGTTTGGAATACATGTAGTATCATTCCATAAAACTGTCAATGCTGTTGCATTAACTGGACCAACGTCTGGAAACCCCGTCTTCCGACCATTACTAGTGAGGACTGTCATATGCCTAGATAGGAACATGACTACGTTCCCAAAATTCAATAATCCTGACATTTGTCGACGGATTTCTTTATTCAAATACGCCACGCTTCAAAATGCATTGTTTGGTTGGCCTCATTGTTTTAACATATATGAAACCATATAGTTTTAGACAAATCCGAAACATATATTTCCAGCAACGACCTGGAATGATCTCAACATGTTTGTTCAAAAGATTGGACTCAAACTGGTGATTGGTCTTAACCTAATGCTCCGTGACGGAACAAAGTGGAACCCATCAAATGCTAAGCTTTTGCTCAAATATTCCTCTGACAAAGGGTATCCTTTTGCCGGGATTGAACTGGGAAATGGTAGGTTTGAAGCCATATATATGTCAAATCTATCACAGATCATTTAAAAAAGTTTAAATATAGTTGCTTGGAATCCGCACAGAACAGGTCCACAACACCAAGATACGTAATCAGGCTGGATAATTTCGTTCATACGTGCCACGTATCATATTTGGGCATTAAACAATAGACGGGCACATCGTATTATTACTGAATTATCTGCGTCTTTTCACACTAACATTGAATGCAACACCCTTAAAACATTAAGAATGATATGAATATAATTTGTATATTAATTCCCTTCTCCTTGATGTACCATACTGTGTGTGTAGACAGGATCCCTTGTTATTCGTAATGCATAATTACCGTCGTATGTTTTGTCCATGAAGCACCAAACTTTTATTACCGACAATGGAATACAACTGTCAGTAAAGCGCAACTGGCAAGTGACTTCAAAGAGTTGAAACAAGTCCTCCAAGGAACTGCCTATAAGTCTAGTCTAATCCTCGGACCTGACGTGGCCAGTTATGAAGACAAGTTTTTAAACAAGTATGCATTAAATACTCATTTCATACGCTACACTTGGGAATATGGTGCTTAGAGACCCAGTGCTAGAATGTTGTTTTACAAACTGAACCACCTCTGTGCTTACTATGGTATGTTAGTCTCACCCTTTGTGTCAAATCTAAAGCATTCATTCAATAACTGACATGGGAGCACGAGTGTGTCAATCCCTTGAGTTGCATCCTTGAGGTTTGTATTTACCTTGCCCCTGCTTAAACGCCTGAAACCTGAGTCCCATCTGTCGTTCCTCATTATCCAAAGCGGCGTTAAACCATTCGGTAGCTTTTATCTTTTCACACATCAGGTTTCCACAAACACGAATATGGTAAATGCAAGTGATACCTTCCTCGATACTCTCTTGTCAAATGTGATCATGCAATTCCAGGTTCCTGACCGATGGCGGAGCCAGTGCCATAGACGTCCTGACCGTCCATCAGTGAGTATCGTCCTTGAGTGGCAGGGTATCAGGGACGTGGACGTCAATGAATCATTCATGTCATTATGGATGATCCAGTAGCATCGGGTCTTGGGGTAGCCAAATTAAAGCATCCGTTCGTCCCGCTGAAGACCCAGGTTTGTCCCTTGCCGTGATATTGCTGGAATATTGCTAAAAGCGGCGCAAAACCATACTCACTCCAGCAGCAACTGTGGATTACAGCGAAGACATATTAGCCGAATAATGGATATATATACTGAGTCAAAAAAGAAACTTCACATTCTTTTTTCAGGGCACTATAAAAGAACAAGAGATAGTAAGATGGTTAAATTGTTATTATTTCATTGCTGAGATCTGTGTGATGTACTCGATACACTGACAGTGCCATAATCAGTTCCATTAGGCTACACCGCCGTTCCAAAACATGGGTAAACAGAATGTCAAGTCACAAGAATAAAAAAGCGAAATTTCTCAGTTCAGTATCATTTATGGCCTCCCCTCGCATTCACCACTGCCAAACACCGTCTACTCATCGACTGCCTGATGCTTGTGAACACGTGGTTGGGGATTCTGCGCCATTGCTCTTGCAAGGCAGCGCCAAGTTCCTGCAAATTCTGAGGTTGGTTCCTAAGACCACGAAGCCTACTCACAAGTGCATCCTAAACGTGCTCTACTGGATTAAGGTCAGGGGACCTCGATGGCCAGTCCATGACGTTAATTCCAGCGTTTTGAAGGAAATTTCGTGTCAACATCGCGGTATGCGGCCGAACATTATCATGCTGGAACTGTAGACCTGGGCCATGAGCCACCATGAAAGGAACGAGTTCAGGGTGAGAACCTGGTCGCGGTAAGCAGCAGCTGTGAGGTTTCGACGGATGACCAGAAGTCGGGAACGGTTGTTCCCACAGAAAGCACCCGACACCATGCAACTTCCGCCCCCGAATCTGTCGACTTCCTGTACACAACATTCACAGTCTCCAGACTCTATGCCTGCCGTCCGCGAATCTGAGGGTAAACCTGGTTTCATCGCTAAAGACGTTTGGCCCGCAGCAGACGTTGACGTTGATGAAACGGCGTCAATATATGCCCACGATATGGACGTCGAGAATGGAGATTGGCAGCCTGCAAACAATTTCGAATGTCTGTGAGGACAGTCGACCTCAAAACATCTCAGCCCTGGTTCGTGTAGCCGGCAGAAATGTACCACGTAGGTGACGCAGGACGATTTGACGGTCTTCTGCTCGAGACGTCACACGTGGACGACCCGACCTTGGGCGATCAGAAGTGGTGCCAGTTGGTTGTAGACGCCCTCGCAAGTCATACACAGTACGACGTCTGCATCCCATTGCTCTTGCGACGTCAATAACTGATCTTCCGGCTTGCAACATGCCAAAGGCACGTTCACGTTGCACATTTGACAATCGTGACATTTCAAGTACTGTTAGAACTGTGGTTTAAAAGTGTTTTTTCAATTCTTGAGGCCAATGCAAACACGTGCATATGAAGAAAACTTCGATGCGAAGATCATGTGATCGACTGCACGTGCAAAACCTTATTTGGCACTAACGTCATTTGCACGACGCATGGATGGGTTTGAGTGGGTTTTGCTAACGTTTTTCTAGAGTCGAAAGATAGGGATCCCATTTCGGATACAAAGATGTATCATCAGAGAAAAAGTATTCATTATTTTTCAAATTACATTTTGTGAAGTTTCTTTTTTGACTCAGTATAGTAGCAGCAGGATGGTAAGTGATGCTTATAGTGGACGCCAAGTGGGAGGATGGCGTTAACGAATTGAGTAGATCACCAATCACTTTGTGTAACACACTTCAATATATACAATAAGAGAAACAAAAATAGAAAGGAACGCTTGTTTGGCTGATTGTTGCGTGTACCTTAATACGGTTAGGACTTTTTGTGTTAGATTTTATTCTTTTCAGTTACTACTTTAATGGAAAAACAGCGAAACTCGAAGACTTTTCTGACCACTCTATAATGGACCGTCTTATATCCGAAGTTCAAACAGTGATGGGTATGGTGCGAAGCTATCATGGCCTGGTGGCGTGGCTAGGGGAAACTTCTTCTGGTTATGGGGGCGGCACTCCTGGCATTTGCAATAGATATGTGGCAGGCAATCTGTGAGTATCTTAGCTATTCAAAGGGCGTTTGCTTAACGTTTTCTTTTCAAACAGTTTCATGCTCAGAGTAGATTTCTTTATAAGAAGAGCTTGTAATCAGAAGTAGAAAGCAACGTGGGAACGTCAAGCAGAACGCCTTGAATGAAGGGGCAGCATATGTTGATTTAGAATTCGATTTCTAATAGATATTTCTTAGATGGTGATTACTGATGCGTTCAGTTCTGTAGAAACACCAGGACCGTGTTGAAAATATTGGGATTCAACTGTAAGACATTGTTCTGTAAAAGTTTACGCGGGTAGGATATACCATTGATGATGACGTCTTCGGTGTCTGTGGCACAATTATCGTCTAACTGTTTTCTTCTTTTCTATACATGGTTTGTTAAGAAAGGATTATTAATCTTATAAAGTGGTTTTGTTCAAAATCTTAGGTGGCTTGATAAACTGGGAGTGTCAGCAAAATATGGTTTAAAAAGGGTCATGCGCCAGTCATTCTTCGGAGGGCATCACTCACTTCTTGATGACAACAGCGACCCTACTCCTGTGCGTGAACGCCTGTTACGTTAAGATATTATCATGTCATATTAACAGCTACAAAATGTCATTATGTCGGAGGGGCGGTTAGGTAGCCTAGTGGTTAAAGCGTTCGCTCGTCACGCCGAAGACCCGGGTTCGATTCCCCACATACGTACAATGTGTGAATACCATTTCTGGTGTTCCCCACCGTGATATTGCTGGAATATTGGTAAAAGCGGCGTAAAACAATACTTACTCACTCACTTACTTATCATGTCGGAATTCCATATCATGATAGGTGAACAGGGGTGCCAGTCAAATCGCCCTAGCTACAAAACGCCTCAGCCAATTTGGTCAAAATGCCCCAGATTTTTGGTCAAATCGCCCCAGGTTTGGTCAAATTGCCCCAGGGGGGTAGTCAAAATGCCCCAATGTATTTAAATTGGTTAAATATATGCCACAAATGCTTAGTTTTTGTCAACTTCCATATTATATTCAATATATAATATTATATAGTAATATTTCTGATAAATTTTCTATTAGTAAACTGATAAGAGCAAAAGTAATATCCATGTATAGACAACACTGTAGTACCAATTATTTGGTAAAGAATTACAAGAGTAAAATGAAAGGTTTGTAGAATATGTTTATTGGCTGTAAATAGTTTTTGGTCAACAAATGGCATTGTGTAATCATAACAAGTATGGTATAATATTTATTATTTAAACATATTTATTTCCAAAGAAAGGAACCGGATTGGTAGACAAGCATAAGCTTATATGAATACCGCTCTAGGATACAATGGAAGGAAGAATAAACTCGTCATGATGAATGGACAATGTGAATGATATATAAATGTTGCCGAAACGAGAAATAACGCCAATCATTGTTAAACGGTATATGTCATATAAACAAAATATTTTGGATCAAATCTGCCTGTTAAATTTATAAAAGAGTGCACTGAAATTAAACGTTCTTTGTTTACTATTGAGGAGCAGCGTTGGTTTCCAAACAAAATTGATTTTGGGTCAAATCCTTTAGTATAAAAATACATAATTTGACGTATATCGTTGTAAAGAGTACATGGAAAGAAATAGTGATCAGAGTCTTCATAGTTATGGCCACAAGAGCAAGATGATGTCGGAGATATAAATCTTTCATATTTGTGCGCATTAAGGTCACTACATTCAAGTTGGAGACGAGAATGTATGATTAGACAAAATCTGCTACCGGAATTTAAGTCAAAATGACTGTAGATATTAGAATCGTTCAAAATTACATTTTTGAATCTCGATAGGTTGTGGTCGATTAGTGAATATGTTTTTATAGCCTGAAATGCTCATACATTCGAGCCTCAACATTAAACACAGCATTGAATGTCAATTAGTGAACATGTTTTAATAGCCTGTTTTATCCACACATTTTGACAAGATTAATTAACAAAAGCTCTAGATTGTTTTGATAAGCATTAAACCATACTTGTTGAGAAAACCTGTGCATTCACGGCCTCACCTTTTGACAAGTTTAATTAACACAAGCTCTAGATTGTTTTGACAAGTATTATACCATACTTGTTGAGAAAACCTGTGCATTTACGGCCTCACCTTTTGACAAGATTAATTAACAAAAGCTCTAGATTGTTTTGATAAGTATTATACAATACTTGCTCACAAAAACTATGCATTTATGGCCAATAAACATTTTATACAAACATTTCATTTTATGCTTGTAATTCTTTACAAAAGCATTAATAACATGCAAATAATTGGTATTATAGTGTTGATATTACTTTTGCTCTTATCAGTTTACTAATAGAAAATCTATCAGAAATATTACTATATAATATTATACGAAGTACATAATATGGAAGTTGACAAAAACTATGCATTTATGGCATATATTTAATCATTTTAAATACACTGGGGCATTTTGACTACCCCCCTGGGGCAATTTGACTAAACCTGGGGCGATTTGACCAAAAATCTGGGGCATTTTGACCAAATTGGCTGAGGCGTTTTGTAGCTAGGGCGATTTGACTGGCACCCGGTGAACAGTACCTTGTGCTTAAAGGCCGTATGTAGTGACCAAGGCCTTTGAGGTAGTCTCTCATGGATCATCCTGTTTCGACTATCTCGACATCAACCATATTCGTTTTGTTCGTTTGTGCTGTATGTTGTTGCTACACCCAGCGATATACCAGCTGTATGAAATGTAGTAAATTACCGAATCTGGACCAGACTATCCATTGACTGACATGATGAACATCGATCAGCACTATTGGAATACGATATCATGTGTCAGCCAAGTCAGAGAGGCTGACCACCCCATCTAATCATTTGTCTCTTACGACAAGCATGGGTTGCACTAAACAATAGCATGTACTGACACCATGATTTCATTTGCCAGGACTATTGGTTGACGCTTCTTTACAAGAGACTTGTTGGCAACAAAGTATTTGATGTTCCATCCTCATCGGACAACATCCGGCTGTATGCCCACTGTACGAAGCTTAACAAGTGAGTTGTTTAGTAACAACTCTATTCATAACCTGGTCAACACTTCCCACACAACAGTGTGGCCATAGGCTACCATTAATCACCTTGAAAAAGCATTTTATCAAAGTCCAAATATACACACAGTCACTGCAGTTTGAATCAGTTTAGAGCTATGCCCGGTACTGGCAGAACAACAGCTGAGTGTCCGTGATTTTCAGGAAGGAATGTTTTGGTCTTATTGGTACGTGTCATGAATATCGAATTTGACTTAAGACGTTACAGAGATGTAATGCCTATGTGTGAGATTCCCGTGGGTGACATCTGCATCTCTGCATAGCTAGCAACTGTGTGATGTCATCAAAACAAATACCGTCACTCAAATCATTATGACGTCATGCCCATACAAGTCATTCATGTGATATTTTCACAAATGAATGAAATGACTAGGTTTCAAGGAAAGTAATACTAATAATCCTACATATTGACATCACTTTTCATGTTTCAGCGTATACAACTACAAGCCTGGAAGCATCACAGTGTATGCCCTCAACTTGAATAAAGACCCCGTACTCCTGACTATATCGGATCTGAACATCAATAGCATGGACAGATTCTGGCTGACTCCGGAGGGAGGAGACCTTACGTCAACGTTTGTATAACATGCTATGTTTTCTGTCAACTCTTGAGTGAGTGAGTGAGTATGGTTTTACGACGCATTTAGCAATACCACAGCGGGAAACCTTACGTCAACGTTTGTATATCATATACAGCTTATGGACTGTGTTCGTGTTGCAATTACCACAGTGGCGAAGCCATGAACAATCGGTTTAAATAATGAGGATAAAGCTGAGAGACATTTGCCCAAAAAGCAGCTCTTGACGCAGGAATCTGTAAAATGACCTACGACAAACTTTCATCTTTGATGGGCATTTTAGAAGTTGAGTTGATGAAGAATGATGACAAATTTTATGGATATACAACTTCTTTTATTCTGTGAAAGGCGACGTTTCGACATAAATGCCGTTGTCAAGCAAGTGATGACAACGACAACGCCTTTTACAGAATAAAAGAAGTTGTATAACCATAACAAGTTTTATCATTTTACGACAAACTTGTTCACACATGCTATAGTTGCAGGACATCTGTTGGATCCACGGATGATCAAGAAGAATATTAAGCAGAGCAACCAGTTTTTATATTCTTTCCAGAAAAGTCCAACTCAATGGCAACACTCTGGAACTAGTCAATAATCAAATACTACAAATGATGCCAAGATCTGTAGGAAGTGGGACCATGAAAGTACCCGGAAACTCATTCGGCTTCATCGTCATCCCGTTGTCTATGCTCTGACACTGTAGTACGGTACAAACCGATCTTAGGGTTACACGTTTTAATTTTGAAATCACCTCTTTACAAGATATATGGGATATGGTTACTTTTGCATCCTTAGACCAGGAAGATCATGGCTATGCGACAGTTAAGCTGTTGCCTAAATGAATCTTCAACTCAACTCCCTGCACCAACGCGTCTTATCTCCAGTAAAGCTCCACATCGTCAATAGATATTTAACATTTGTTAATACATTGAACGCCTTGTTCGCATTCACTCCCTACGAAGGCAAGGGCTGACGTTTGAATGTATATTACCACGTACTTTTACTTCGCTACTGTGTGTTCGGTGCTCATTGAATACATGGCTAAAGTGTGGTGATCTTCAGGTAACATTTGTAGATCATTAAGTTGAACAAAAACAACAACAACAAAAAAACACCAAAAAACCTGACTGATGGACAGCGTTGCAACACGAACATATACTACTCATCAAAAGTTTAGACTCACTTAAAGCACTCACTATATGTTATGCATATATATACGGTTACATGGAGGATTGATTTATCCACTAAGTTAGGGGAACCAACTGCAAACCTTAAGCAGATGAGTGCACGAGGATCATGCATCAATTTTCTGAAAAGCATGTGCAAATATCGTGCATGTGAACAGCTACGTGTTGGTGTAAAGTTTTGTTAAGAATTCGCCAATTTTCATTGAGTTTCATGACTTATTGAACTCATGAAAATAATTTGTTCAACGTTAGGAATTTGTGTTACACTACATCAGTTCATGTGCAAACAGTACATTTAAACAGTATGGAATATTTAGCTAAATGTAGTTTAGAACAGTTGACTGAAGTAATAGGCTATATTAACACTAGTGAGTCTAAACTTTTGATGGGTAGTATATTTAGATCTCCAGATTTGTTACAGACTGCCATCTCATGACGGTACTGCTGGGATGGGTCAGGCAAGAAAGACTTTCATTCGACGCAGATGGTCTGAATGAGGGACAGAAACTACATGCTTCCTTTTTGGGGCGAACACCTGGTGTCATTACGGATTTTCAGTGATCCGTTCAAAAATGTTCACCTTGATTTTGCGTTATAGGCATACTTGTTACGGAGAATAATCGAGACTTTGCATGTTGCAATCATCAATTTAGGTCAGCTAGACTGACATGAAGACAGGAGACGGTTATACATATCATTAGTGAATTGTCGCTTCTCCAAACATCTTTGGAAATATGTGTTATTTATTGATGTACAATGAACAAATCTTAATACATCAATCCCGTCCTGAGAAACAGCACACGCAATAACAAATCGGTTTGAAATGCTTGGATAAGTTGCATGCTTACTGCACTCACAGAATGAGAATGTGGTACTACAGTGTGTATAATATTGACGATACATCCCATACATCACCTTTGGTGTCATGTAGGGTTACTTTGACCAAAAGTAGAAGTACGATTTACTGCATGTTGGAAGCCCAAAGGTTTATGAATAATACTTGTCTGGCGTTTGCATGTGTCGTCAGTATGTAGTCAAATAAATTACAAACTAGCCTGCAAACAGCATGTAGCTATGGAAGAGGGAGCAATATGGTTCTTACAGCATTTACAGTCTACTGTTGTAGCAAGGACTGGCATCTAGAACACACAAGCTTATTAATGTTACTTTTACAAAATTAAGTGAGACAACAGAACACAAACACGCAAAAGCAATGTGCAAACTAACTGGTTAAAAGCTGTGACGAAATATTTGGTAGGCGTTTAAATAGTGCTAAAGGAGAATCCACTTGTGGTCGATTGTGACCCAGTACAAGCTGAGTTCATGTGTTCTGTATATTCGACAATGGGCTTTGTCGACTCGACACAAGCTTGCATGGGAGAATATTTTCGGTCGTCCAGGAAAGTTATATTTGCTGATTTTGCACTGTTAAACTCAGCGTCATCACTTTTCAAAGTGTTTAACTCACCTATTACATAAATGTAAAGTGTATCTTCGTCATATTAAGGATAGGTCGTGTGTCTACATATTTCCAAATGTTATCGGGACTTGATTTTTCTCAGTTTCACATTTACGTAATAAAACTAAGATAAGATACCAAAACAGATACACACAAGCCCAGTTCTTGACCAAAAGTCTAGGCATAATCTTAATCATCTCAATCATACATGTGGCTACATTTTCTTATCAATTGCCAGGTCTTTGTGGCACCTGCTGTTTGCCCAAACCGAAGTGAACATAGGAGGTATATATCTCAAAATGAAGTAACGGTGAAAATGTTCCCGGATATCATGATCTTGTGTTTATTTGGACTGGCTTGGATCCTGCCGTTTACTGTGTCCCTACACACCGAACATATCAGGGTGAAAACTAACCACGTGTTGCAGGTGATAGATGACATGTTTGTTGGCGTCACCATCGCCGGCAGTCAACTGAGGTCCAATCTGAAGTATCACAATGTCAGGTAATAAAACATTGGGGCAAATATGTCTGATTGGTTTGTTACTTGGTTGACGGATTTGTGTGCAAATCGAGGTTTCGGATGAAAATATACATTTATATCCACAAATAAATGCCATGAACACTTTCCACAGTAGAAGTCTGGATTGTATCATGAACATTATGAAATAGAGATGATACCAGGTCGGGTGCATTCTGGTCCATCAGCGGCACTTGTCAAAAAACGGTGCGAAGTAAAGTCAGTTATTCGTCTGTGAACATATGGTGCAAGTATAAATTGGGAATACCATAAGACGTTTTGACAGTTTTACCGGAGCCTTATAACCTGGACAAAACACATTGTGAATAAAGATTCTTGTGACGTTCTTTGTAATCTTGGTAAGAATATAGCTTGATTATTACCATGGTTCAAGAAGCACACAAAACGTGTTTGTTTTAACAGTTCTCCCAAACTGCTGTCTCTGGGAAAAGCTTTAGCTCCAGGGTATCTGAGAATCGGTGGCTCGTCACTGGACTACATGGTGTTTGACCCGACCCGCAACATTGCTACTGGAGACCAGTTCCAGCTCCCAGGTGAAAGCTATAAAACATTGTTCCATCCTTCTAGCAAACACCTTCACCGAAAGGTCTCCCTATGAATCCCCTTTTGACTGACAGATTTCATGTTTCTGTGTTCACATAATCTTGTTTAAACTGTTATATATTCAATATATACAACTGAAAGAATGTATTATTTGATGTCAGATCGTGACAGCAAAATAACATTGTTGCATCTTTCTAGAACAAACCTTCCCAAGAAAGACCTTGAATCAACATGTACGTTTTGAATGAAGAATTTCCATATTTCTGAGCTCACGAAATCTTATGCGAACTGTCATGATTGAAGATGCTTCCAAGAGTGATTTGACTCTACATTCAAAATATACAACTGAAAGAATGTATTATTTGATGCCTGATCTAGAAACACTATTTTCAGCAAACACCTGGGATGATCTTAACATGTTTGTTCACAAGATTGGCTTCAAACTGGTGATTGGTCTCAACCTGGTGCTCCGCAACGGAACGAGGTGGAATCCATCAAATGCAAAGCTGCTGCTCAAATATTCCTCTGACAAAGGATATCCTTTTGCAGGGATTGAGCTGGGAAATGGTAGGTTTCAGGGGTATTTACCACACATAAAAGTTATTCTTGCTGGGGATGTCTTGAGGAGGAGGTCTCGAACAACCTGTACTTGTATGAGGTGACTGAATGGATCGGTAGTCAGGCTGGTTAATTTGTGTTTTTACCGGACCATGGGTATCCAACCGCCTGGAGATTGTGAATACTTTCATCCCGCATGCACACAGGGTGATCTTTTCACATTATCGTGAAGAACGAGAGCAGATTTTCATCACCATTATTACATTTTGAACTTCGCATTGTTATTTATTCCATGATAAATTGATACCGTTGCCAGATTTTTATATCGTGCTTGCTGAATTTATTTTAATTGTATCTATTTTTCATGAAGAACCAAACTTGTATTTCCGACATCGGAACATTACAATCAGTGATGCTCAGGTGGCAAGTGACTTCAAGGACCTAAAACAAGTCCTCCAAAGAACGGCCTATAAGTCTAGTCTCATCCTTGGACCTGACATAGCCGGTTATAAAGACAAGTTCATTAAAAAGTATGTAAAAAATAGAAATTGCATCAATTCACATCAAAAGTGTGAAAAGTACAAAACCGTATTAAAACCACTTAAAAGCGTAAAAGTTTCACACACAAGAGAATCCACTTCCACAAACGTTTCGTCCCTACTACCTGTGAAAAGTGACCGTTCCTTCCAGCTTCCTGTCCTTGGGTGGAGCCAGTGTCATAGACGTCTTGACCATCCATCAGTGAGTACCTTCCTTCAGGGTGGGGAAGTATCAGGGCCTACAATGAGTATGTCAGTAGCAATACTCCAGTAATATCACGAAGGGGAACACCAGATATTGGTTAAAAACATCGCATCCGTGTGGTGACTTGAACCCGGTTCTCCATTTGTTTAAGTGATTGTTGTGTATACAGTAACACAGTTACAAATTCCTGTTTCAGTTACTACTTTGATGGACACACCGCCAAACTCGAAGACTTTTCTGACTATACAATAATGGACCGTATTATACCTGAATTACAGTCAGTGATGAATACAGTCCGAAGCTATCATGGTCTGGTGGCATGGCTTGGGGAGACTTCTTCTGGCTATGGGGGCGGCACTCCTGGTATAGGCGATAGATACGTGGCAGGCAATCTGTGAGTATTTTAGTTATCAAAGAATTTTGGTTTGAAGTTTTCTGTAAGACGGGTCAGTAAGAAACATTGAATACAGCAGAATAATGTCAACCAGAGCGCTTCCGATGGAGCGCCAGTATACGTTGATGTTGATGCCAATTGATAAAACATGCTTGCTAGATGGAGATAGGGGGGTACATTTGGGACAATTGGAATCAACTGTATGTTCAAGCATACGTGTTTATGGTGTACCATTGCTGATCTCTTAGCATAATATTCCAGGCTAGCTATTCTCGAAACGTTCGTAGCTCTACGAACTTCTTAAGCCCATTCTTAACGCATTGGCTACGATCAAAGTTACGAATTCTTAGGGCTACGAACGTTTCGAGAATAAGGCCCAGTTTCCTATGTGTCTTAAGAAAGGATGTGTACATGTACGGATATATGATGGTTATTCTTATTTTTAGGTGGCTTGATAAACTAGGTGTATCAGCAAAATATGGGTTTAAAAGGGTCCTCCGCCAGTCACTCTTTGGAGGGCATTACTCGCTTACTGACAGCAACAACGACCCAACTCCTGTGTGTATTCTTAAGTAATGTCAAAATGTACTATGTCATATTAACGATTAACAATGTAGTTTTGGCCGACTGCAATATGAAGTCTCTTGACAAAGATCGTTGAAAACCTTACTATTATGGAATAATCACTACTTTAACAGCTATTTTCAATGTCCTGTTAGGACAGCTTGAATTGGCACAGAACAACACAGAAGTCAATACTGTTTTTCTTATAGAGGAACACCATAATTTCTTCTCACAGGACTATTGGTTGACGCTTCTTTACAAGAGACTTGTTGGCAACAAAGTATTTGATGTTCCATCTTCATCTACCAGCATCCGACTGTATGCACACTGTACGAAGCTTAACAAGTGGGTTGTTAAACCATATACTTTTACAAAACTTGTAAAGCGTATACTCGAAAACCTTTACCTTGATCATACTTAAACATATCTTTTAGAATGAAAAGAACGACGTCCACAATGGGCATGAATGGAACGTTGTTTGGCTGCTCGAAAAAAACTCAACGCACAAAACATTTAATATAAATCCAAATGCAATTCGGTTTTCCAGCAAGAAACGATAAAACAATAAATAGGATTATCATTTTCTATCGTATCCATACATGTTTCGAACGAAGACACCGAACACTCCAAAATATTGCAGGTAGCGTTCTGGTCATCTAGACATTTCATCTAATTGTGTGATTGTTGCATATGCTATACATATATGACTGACTGACTGACCGAGTTTAGTTTTACGCCGCTCTTAGCAATATTCCAGCAATATCACGGCGGGGGGACACCAGAAATGGGCTTAACACATGGTGCCCATGTGGGGAATCGAACCCGGGTCTTCGGCGTGACGAGCCAACGCTTTAACCACTAGGCTACCCCACCGCCCCTATACATATATGAATTACCAATATTGTAAGAACATTATATCAAAGTCATAATATGCACACACAGAATTTGAAAAATAATGTTTGCCATAATTACGCCCAATACTGTAGCCGAAGTACAGAACATCATGTCAGGGTGCAGGATGTTTCCTGAGCCGAATGCTCTGCTCTGTACGTTTCACAGCGGTTTTTCTCCCTTTACACCAAACGGAATTTGTTGCTGAGGATAGTTAGACTGCATTTTTCTTTCGCTCTGACGTCCTATATTTAATTCAACTGAAGTTCCCGAGAATATTGGGGATAAATAGCATATTTTAGTATGCAGAGTCAGCTACAAAACATTAACGTGCCCCCCTTAATGTGTTGCAAAGCAAATCTATTCCGAAACACTTTTCGTTATTTACACGCTTTCGAATCTCTGTACTTATTATTATCTATCTGTATTTGCGTTCCATCAACAACTTGATTATCTGGTCTGTTTACACGCCTCTGTTGCATGGCTGGAGTACTGTTGTGCGACTCCAGGCAGAACATATATATACTAGACAAAAATAGTTAGGGATACATTTAAATTTTGAAATTATATATAATGATGCATTTATTCATTGACACACCGACAAAATATCAATCATAAAATACCAATATCCCTAACTTATTTTGTCCAGTATACTTCCATTTTCAGGTGAACACCCGGTGTCTTTACTGTTTTTCATTGATCCATTCATATTATTTTTACAGCTATCTTTCCATTTACACATGAATATGTTGATTAGTTTTTTATTGTACACTAATCTTCTGTAGTTGCCGTATCGGCATATGTCCTGCATATATCATCGAGGTTCAAATGTATTACAACGTAATGTTTCATGTGGCAGCCCCGTGGCCGCCATCTGAATTTCAACATAGTAACTATACGCACGTGACATTAATCAAACATTATGACGCCATTGTGTCCTCACAGGTCGGCCAAGGCAATTCGAGGATATTTTCACATTCATTGAATTTTCACATCTGTTTTGACATCACTGGTTCGTTTTGGTTTGTTTTACTGAAAACAAATGATATCACTTGACATCATGTCCTTACAAGTCAATCGTATGATATTTAAATAAAAATGAAATGACTCTAGTAGGTTTAGTGATAATCCTACATATTGACATATGTTATGACATCACTTTTGATGTTTCAGCGTATATAACTACAAGCCTGGGAGCATCACAGTGTATGCCCTCAACTTGAATAAAGACCCTATACTCCTAACTATATCGGATCTGAACATCAATAGCATGGACAGATTCTGGCTGACTCCGGAGGGAGGAAACCTTACGTCAACGTTTGTATATCATATGTTTTCTTTCAACTCTAGAGCTTATGGACTGTGTCCGTGTTGCAAAGCCATCAACAACCGGTTAAAATAATGAGGATAAAGTTGAGAGGCATTTGCCTCAAAAGCAGCTCTTGACGCAGGAATCTGTAAAATAGCCAACGTTTGTCAACGTTTGTATAACATGCTATGTTTTCTGTCAACTCTTGAGTGAGTGAGTATCGTTTTACGACGCATTTAGCAATATTCCAGCAATACCACAACGGGATACACCAGAAATGGACTTCACATATTGTGCCCATGTGGGGATTCGAACCCGGGTCCTCGGCGTGACGAGCGGACGCCTTAACCACTGCCCCGTCAACTCTTGAGCTTAAGGACTGTGTCCGTGTTTCAGTTATCACTGTGTCGTAAGTCGGTTCATAAATAATTGGTTCAAATTATGAAGATAACTTTGAGAGACATTTGCCAATTTTCAGTATCTTTCCAGAAAAGTCCAACTCAATGGCAAAACTCTGGAACTTGTCAATAACCAAATACCACACATGATGCCAAGATCTTTAAGAAGTGGGACGATGAAAGTACCCGGAAACTCCTTCGGCTTCATCGTCATCCCTGACGCCAACATTGCGGTATGCCAATCACAAGGCCACGGTACCATTATCGGATAACTGAACCAGCATTACTTTCCTATTACGTTTAAATAAATTATTTACAAAGGCTCTTTAACGTTTGTGTTTTGGGACATAGTCTTGTTACTCATCCTTGATATGAAGTTCCCACAAGCAAGTCACCCAGTGGGTTTGTACAAGTAATGATGTTTAGATCTTCAGGAAGAGTAATGATTAGAGTGTTTCCTGGTTTAACAGTATCAAACGTTATGGACATTGCTGTTTCATGTCATTGTTGAACTGATTTTACGTCTCAGACTGTGGGATCCGTATTTATTATGATACGTCTGGTGGCCGCATACTAACATGACACTCGGAATTGATTGTTTGTTTTGTGCATTGTGCTTTCCCTCCCCCTTACTAACGTCGGTTTGATGATAACAGCCCAGCCAGATACCAGGTCGCAGTTTAACGTGAATACTCCACTCAGATATATACTGAGTCAAAAAAGAAACTTCACATTCTTTCTTCAGGACACTATAAAAGAACAAGAGATAGTAAGATGGTTAAATTGTTATTATTTCATTGCTGAGATCTGTGTGATGTACTCGATACACTGACAGTGCCATAATCAGTTCCATTAGGCTACACCGCGGTTCCAAAACATGGGTATACAGAATGTCAAGTCACAAGAATAAAAATGCAAACTTTCTCAGTTCAAGATCGTGTATGGCTGCCCGCGCATTCACCACTGCCAAACACCGTCTCCTCATAGACTGCCTGATGCTTGTGGACACGTGGTTGGGGATTCTGCGCCACTGCTCTTGCAAGGCAGCGCCAAGTTCCTGCAAATTCTGAGGTTGGTTCTTAAGACCACGAAGCCTTGTCCCAAGTGCATCCCAAACGTGCTCTATTGGATTAAGGTCAGGGGACCTCTATGGCCAGTCCATGACGTTGATTCCAGCGTTTTGAAGGAAATTTCGTGTCAACATCGCGGTATGTGGCCGAGCATTATCATGCTGGAACTGTAGACCTGGGCCATGAGCCGCCATGAAAGGAACGAGTTCAGGGGTGAGAACCTGGTCGCGGTAAGCAGCAGCTGTGAGGTTTCCACGGATGACCAGAAGTCGGGAACGGTTGTTCCAACAGAAAGCACCCCACACCATGCAACTTCCGCCCCCGAATCTGTCGACTTGCTGTACACAACATTGGGCATACCGTTCAAGACGTCGTCTCCGTCCGCGAATCTGAGGGTAAACCTGGATTCATCGCTAAAGACGACTCGATTCCAGTCTCTCTGGGTCCAAAGGAGGTGACGTTGGGCCCACAGCAGACGTTGACGTTGATGAAACGTCGTCAATATTGGCCCACGATATGGACGTCGAGAATGGAGATTGGCAGTGCGCAACCCATTTCGAATGGTCTGTGAGGACAGTCGACCTCTAAACATCTCAGCCCTGGTTCGTGTAGCCGGCGGAAATCTACCACGTAGGTGACGTAGGACGATTTGACGGTCTTCTGCTCGTGACGTCACACGTTGACGACCCGACCTTGGGCGATCAGAAGTGGTGCCAATTTGCTGTAGACGACCTCGCAAGTCATTCACAGTACGACGGCTGCATCCCATTGCTCTTGCGGCGTCAATAACTGATCTTCCGGCTTGCAACATGCCAACGGCACGTTCACGTTGCACATTTGACAATCGTGGCATTTCAAGTACTGTGATCGACTGCACGTACAAAACCTGATTTGACACTTACATCATTTGCACGACGAATGGATGGGTTTGAGTGGGTTTTGCTAACGTTTTTCTAGAGTCGAAAGATAGGGATCCCATTTCGGATAGATAGATGTATCATCGGAAAAAAAATTATTTATTATTTTTCAAATTACATTTTGTGAAGTTTCTTTTTTGACTCAGTATAGTATGGTCTCCCAGCCAACATGTCCTCATCCCGTCATGCCGAAGGCTAGGCAGAGAACCAACAAGTACCATTTGTGAACGTCATTGATGTGGCGTGTCGAGGAACGGAACCGCCCACATTCTAGTTTGCAGCTGAAGTACAACTTGGTTTAACGTCGCCTCCATAAGTAAGCATGTTTGATTGTGTGTGTGCGTGCGTGCGTGCGTGCGTGCGTGTGTGTGCCCGCGTGAGTACGTGCGTGCTGGATCAGTAAATGTTTCTATTTTTCTTATAGCCGAGCACCCGCAAGAATAGCAACAAGTACCATCTGTATCTATTATAATAATTGGTGTCCTTTTAACATGATGCATACTTTTGTGGATCAAATTATTTACTTACATGATGTAGATATTATTATGTATTTAGTTCTTAGGGATTGCCCATGTAAATAACAACAAGAACGTTGATTTTAGAGGTCAGTCCGGTTACTACAAACACATCACAATATATTGTCACCTACTTTGAGAGTCTACTTCCTGACTCAGACAATGGAAGTGTACATTGATGCAACGCATCAAAAGTTCCTTGCCGAGTAAATCTCATAAACAAAATTGTCAAGCCAAGCAATGCAACCATGAGTTGAAAAGTTTATTAAATAAAAACGCCCGTACAAACCGTATATACGGTGAACTACAGAAGAAAGAGTCAAACACTGAATAGTGACAATATAAGAGCATACTATGCACTGTTGATGATAACAGTAAGCTACAGAAATATATGAAAGGTAATATGAAACTACAAAACTAAATCTTGGCATAAAGTGGTTATAACTGAGGCAGTATTATCAGAATGTTTGCAGTTAGTGATATTATCATTCTAAATGCATGAACACAGGAGACTGGGTGAGCAATAGTGATGGAGGTGATGTTTTAAGAAGTGGACATTTCTTTCCTTTTGGAAGAGTTGATGAAAGAAAGGGAGATGGTTATGAGAAAAAAGGTTCATAAATGTGTCACAGTGTAATATACAAAAGATCAAATTTTGAAACAGACATGTTGAAACAGAAGCTATGACTTGCATCATGAAGCGAAATGTGAATTTGAATGTAACTATGCAGCATTAGGTAATATGTCCAAAAAGGTCTAAAGTTTAAAGAGATTCACTGTTAAAGCTTATTATCTATGTAGTATGGTTTCGCCGTACTCATTTCCGGGGTGCTTTAGCTGGCGTGAATACAACCAGCCAACAATATCAACGTAGTGATAGAAATAAGAGACTGGAAAGTTGCTTCTAAATCAACTGAACTGTATGAGAGCATTTAACATACAGGACATGATTCAGCATCAGAAATTCATAAAAAACTAATCCAACAAAAATAATAGGCAAGTTTGCAAAAGGAATTGCTTTTTGTATTAACTCTGACTGTTTTCGTTCATTGATTCATACGTTTGTTTACAAAGGTAATCGAGAACTGATGCATTTTGCTCACATAATACAAGCCACACATGATTAGTTACAGGTTTCACATAATATTGAATGTCCTTTTATTAAATAGATTTTGATCATTTTTTTTCATCTTCTGCAAATGATGGCCAAATAAAGGATATAAATCATTCGTCAAAACCCATAAGTACACAATCAATGTAACCGAATACTGTTCGTAGAAGCTTATCTTAACTGTAAGTATATTCCCATGGTGGTAGGGTTAATCAGGTGATACCACATAAACAGGAAACATAACAAACAGTCACGAAACACGAGTGTCTAACACTTGACTGATATGCAGCCGTTGTCCTTCCTGGTATTACTTTCGAATGCTTCCTTTTTTTGATTCCTACGTTTATTTACAAAATTAAACAAGAATGGATTATGACTTAGTTACATTCATTGACACAAAATTACTCACATAATACAAGCAATACATAATCAGTTACCAGTTTCTCATAATATTGATAGTCCTTGTTGTAGCTAGATTTACACAAAATTTTGTCGCATCTTGTGCGAAGGGATGGCTATATAATGGATGTAAATCATTCGTTAGAAAACCCATATAAACAAATCAGTTTAGACGGATGCTGTTTGTAGAAGCTTAACGTAACTGAATGTTATTCCTATTGCTATAATAGGGAAAGCATTATGAATGAAAAAAGATGATTCACACTTCTGAAAATATTATCACAACTTTAAAAATCTTCAAATACTTAAGTAACTTGAATTTGCACATTATCCTCAGTGCCATTAACTATTCCGAAAATAAAAAATTGTAGCTGACCAGTTACTTACATATGTGTTCATTTGATAGATTTAACTAAGATACAAATACACAATGCATGACTGTTTCTGTTTTACATACAATTGTTAACTAACACAATAATATAAAACATGCAGTGACATTACAATTCGAACTAGATAACATGATACATGGGAGAGGTGTTGACATGAACTGTAAGGACTTGCTTCCTTATCCCTGTTCATTCACTGAAATCACGATATGGCTGAAATATTGCCAACGATACTTTATATTTTAACTCATTTACTCATTCACTGAAAACAACGAGCATGGAAAGAGATTATCTAAAAAGGATCTGGGATATAATTTCATTCGTGAAAAGCATATATCTACAAAGAAGAGCTAGATTGACAGTAACGTGCGGATGCTGTTGAAATACCTATTGAACAATTTGGTCAGTTTTGTAAGAAAGGTAGATGGACTGAACTAGCTAACTAAACATTTGAGTCTCAAACCTTCCTATGTTACAGTGTCACGTGTGCTGATTGAACGTCGCCGCTTGTTAATCCACCGAGATGAAATTAGTCATTTGTAGACGGCTGAAGCCGGCGATAATCCTGTTTGGCCCAACATGTCATTCCTGCTATCATAAGCAAGCACTCTGCATCAACACAATCACAACCTGACCCTCACCAAGCAGCTCGCTAAGCTGTATGCAATCGCGACGAGAAATTCAAATTTGTATTCACACGGACTTCCCCTCCTTGGAGGACACTTGGGTATGGATGTAACTTTGTTTATAATTCTTTAACAACCTTCGATTATTATGCATAGTTTAAAACAGGTTCCCATTCCCCACAGACAAGTTGTGTCTCGTAATAAGTGTTTCCACTTTGCTAATTTAGCATGTTACGCATTTTGATCCTCGATGTCTCCTACACTTCCGATCACCATTCGTAGGAAGTATGAGTGAATCATGTTCAAGTTCAATGAGTAGAACGGTATATCAAGTCTTTTAATTCCCAAGAAACTGATGCCAGCTGGACTGATCACACTTAAGCTCATCATACAAAAGCATCTAACGTCAGATGCATCAGTCTTAAAAGCTGATTGCAGCTTTGACTTTCGTCCAAAACTCTTCTTTGTCATTTTCTTGTGTAGGATACTTAATATACGTGTCATACTCAATCATGTCCCGAATATCTCTACTGAGGATTCTATTGTCCGGTACATCGGTATACCACAACACACATAGGACATCTCTTCCAGTGTGGATGCTTTCCAACTTGGCCATGTGAACTTCATAGTCACACCAGGAGCTCTTTGCAAAGCTAGGTGACAAAACAGCTATGGTCTTCCTGCTTGACTGAATAGCATTGATGATGTTGGCGGTGATGGCTTCACCAACCATGAAGTCACGGTCATGGATGCACAACCTCAAGCCGTAGGTTCTCTCTAGAACAGCCCGCATTTCTTCAACGACGAAACCTCTGTCTGCCTCAGCATAGGAAACAAAGGCATCATAAGTAAAATGGTCTTCTTCTTGTCCAAGTCTTTGATACCCTCTGTACTTCCGTCTTGTGGTGTAGTACAGATAGCGTAGCTTCCATCGATATCGGTACACCATACCAGCTCCAAATATCAACATGGAAAGCAGTATTCCTACTACTGCTGTAGACAGGAGGGGAATAACTATTTTGCAACGTACTTGGAGCTTCGCTTTAACATTTTCTATACCTATAAATGAAATGGTTTCCCCATCTGATAAGGTGCATTTTGTGTTGCCAGGATCTTCAATGGAAATAAACGGCCTTGTAATCCATTCTAATGACTCCAGTGTCGAACAATCACATTTCAAGATGTTACCCTTGATGCTGAGATGAAAAGTGTCGTTTCTATTTCTCATGATATAGTCAATTTGATTTGTCAGGTGTGTTGGAATGCCTTCATACCTGTTTCCGGAGATGTCTAAGGTATGGAGGTGCGGCATGTGCCTAATTTCAATGTTCCAGCTGGCCATCATGTTCCAGCTTAAATCAATAACCTCAAGTCTGGTAAGTCCTCTAAATATCAATGACGGCAGTTCCCGAATAAGATTGTGTGAGATTCGTATGACTTCCAAGTTTGTTTGGTTGCCAAATATCTGCCCATTTGTGTCCGCTAGAAGGGACACTGATAGGTAATTTCGACTTATATTTAAGACTTTTAGTCCATTGGCATACATAAAAAATCTGTGAGATACATTTTTACAGTAATTGTCTGAGAGATCTAAATATTCAACTGTTTGACTTTCATATATTGGACCTATCCAGTTTGTAAAGACATTGTGTGAAATGTCAATAGTTTTAAGTTGGTTTGTTTGAAAGTTGAGCTCAACAATATCATAGTTCAATTTGCTGTTGCTAACATTTACATAGGTTGCATTTGGAGGTAGTGGTATCAGAAAAGGACGACCTAAGATACTGGTTTGGTCATTTTTTGCATCATAATAGGGACTATTATGATGGTTACGGTACGAAAGGCTATGGCTGCAATCTGCCTCACATTGTTCACAGGCATGGATGATGTTATGTGAATATTGAACCACTGGCTGGGGATCAAATGAGGGCAGCGGTTTGGGGGAGAGGAATGTGCCTCTAACTGCATCAACTTGATTGAAGGGGATATTAGATGAATACTGGTTATAAGCATACATTTTCCGCAGATTTGTCAGTCTATCGGCACTCAGCAGATACAATCCGAATGTCACTCTATTGTGATTCATGGATATTATTTCCACTGTTTTCATGTGACCGATGCATTCCTGGTCTATGAGTTCCAATCTATTTGCATCAATATGAACCTCTTTTAAATCTCTGAGATCTCTGAAATATCTCGTATTTGGTTTCTTTAGGTGAACCCCTATGGCAAATGTTGTCACTATTCTGTTGATCTTTAAAACGCTTAGAGGAGAATTTCGAAGTCCATATATAGCTTCACCCATGCGATCAAACCCTAGATATTGATTGTCAGATACATCGAGTGTATCAATCTGCCTTAATGGCCAGAATGCACTTGCTTCAATAAAGTTGATTCTACATTTGCTTATGTCCAGGTTCCTGACAGATGGGGTGTAGAGAAATGATGTATTCAACAGGGTTTGAACTGAGCATAGGCCCCTTTTGCCTGATAACGACAGCGTAGTAAGATTCTTCAGTTTCGAAAATCCAGTCCCAAACGAGGCATTCCGAACACCGTCAATGAAAAGTCTCTGAAGAGCAGTAAGATCACCAAGCGCTTTATCTGGGTATACTGAATCTGCGATCTTGTTGTTGTTTGCGATGTTCAGCGTAAGCAATTTTTTCTGCTCTCTAAATATGCCCTCTGGATATGCTGATTCGTTAAGTTGGAGATGGTTTCCTTTGAGGTTCAAATGTAGCAGATTTGTAGCTCCTGCAAAAGTGTGTACATGCAATCTTTTCAGTTGATTGCAAGACAGATCAAGATGTTCCAAAGCAGAGAACCGTCGGAACGAGCCAACTGGCAGATGCTTAATACTGTTTTGAGACAAACACAGGTATGATACTGAATTTGGGATCTGCTTGGGGATGTTAGATAGATGTTTGCCCTTACAATTGGCGATCAACTTTCCATTGGGTGTGACCCTACATACACAAGGCTTACAGGAGATGTCCAATTGTTTCCCTTGAGTCAGAGAAAGGCAGGCAAGGAGCAGGCACATGACGCACAGCAACATCTTATCTGAAATCATGAAACAAATGCTGAAATTAGCAAAATAGTCCTATGATTGTATCGTTTGTAACCTGGGAAGCTTTATTGAAGGAGTAGACTTATTTACGTCATTTGTCAAGGTACCCTCCAGACTGAAGTTCACAGCGTGGAGAACATTTCGACTAAGGTCTTCATTAAGGGTTGTGACCACCTCTAGCGTATCTTACAGCCACACAACGTCTCCTCATGGATCTTAGGACTCTGTCACACTTCTGTGTATCCTAATTCCTTATGACTTGCGCATTGACATTTCTTTCATACGCAGTCTTACTCACAATACCCACTTCATATTCATCTCAATCGTTTTGTGTATTTCCTACACGGCAATACGCTGATCTCCAGGCACGAGCTCTGAACCGCATATATTGGACGTATACATGCATACTTGCAGAGCGGATACAAGGAATCAGTACCGTTTGTCCTGAGATCGGGCAGCGCATTGTACTTATTTATAAAGTATGACAAACGCACAGATAGAGTATTATCCGAACATCCATGGTATACTCGAGATGTGGTATAAATATGATGGCTTGGGCGGGCCATGATGACAAAGGTTGATGTTCACGCTATAGAATCTGCACTGGTAACGAAAATAGCGGGAAACAGCAGCACATTTTTAAGCCGCCTTGAATACCCTTGGCATTCGCCGTAAGTGTGTCATCCTCATCCTAAGACTTAAAATTGTTTGTCGTGAGCCATTAAAGCAACAGCGACCACAGACTGGCCAGTATCAAGCCTCCCCATAACATGTTGACTTTCTTGATTTGAAAGGCGCGGCATTTCCGAAGAAAGATTAAAATAAAACGTTTAATTTGTTTTCCAGCTCACATTCAATGTGCGTGTTCAGTTGAAGCAAACATGCACCAGGTGACCTCTTGAATTTGCTTTTTCACATGTGCAGTCCGTGTTTTTCATCTTCATAGACGACAAAGTCAAGGTTTGCTGGTGAACTTACAATTTCACGAAATTAAAGCATTCCCACTGTTTACAACTATTTAATATACTTGTAAACTTATTTGATTGAACAGAAAAAGAGAAATATCGAAATGTATCATTGTCAAGTTTTCAATTTTGCTGGTTATCTTACTATTCCACATGTTATATACTTTGTAAACATTGATTCATTGTAAGATTATGCTGCGTTTTGAAATACTGTCACGCCTGTTCGGTGAGGTAACAGAAAACTGGCTTCACACAATATATCTACATGGGTCTTTGAGGTCTTCTAAATGAGTGAACGTTAAATCCACCACTTCACGTTTTGTGAAACTAGGATATCATCAAGTATACTAGATACTCCTTTGAGAACGGACTGTGACCTATACTTACTGTCTTAGAAACCAGATAAATAGTAGAATCTTCTTTGTAAAGATATACAAGAATACATGTCTTTGAGAAGTACTGATTGCCCCTTAATGCATTGATTTACAAGCAGAAGGAGTGAGTGAGTTTAGTTTTACGCCGCTGTGAGCCATATTCCAGCAGTATCACGGCGGGGGACACCAGAAATGGATTTCACACATTGTACCCAACAAACAGAAGGAAAAGTCTATGTTTCATAAGTACACAAGGAAGACTTCAACTGACTAATTCGTGACATGTAACAGTTGACCTTCCTCCTCAAGCCAGCTTTGCTTGTCCAGTTAGCCCTAAATATAGATAAACCAGGAATTATCTCTCGAGCAACTTCTGAAGCGTTGCTCTTGTCACGTTACAGCGACACTATTCGCTCTGTTATCGTTAAACATGTCCGACCAGAGTGAAGTCGATTCCCACTACATGTTGAGTATATGTTTGTGAATTATCAAGTAATGACACCCGGTGTTCCCGAAACATGTTCGCACTTCCTGTTGCACAGTTGACTCCTACCAGAAACGCATGCAATGCATATCTGAAGAATATTATCATTAACATTAACATATGGTGCATGTCAAAATAATGGTTTCCATCGGACCTCTTACATGTCACTCTTGTGTCGAATGGGAAAACGTCCCCTACATATGCACATACAACTTTTTGAAAGCTTTCCCGAGAAATTTACATGTAACTAATTGTACGCTGTTGACGTAATTCATTTATAAACTAAACTGTCCACTCATGCAAGCCCTTTACTGAATGCTCATTGGACATCTACCAAATAACATAGATCCGTGAAGATTCGGGCTAGAATTGATCTTCAGCAACCCATGCTTTTTGTAAGAGGCGACTAACGGGATCGTGTGGTCAGGCTCACATGTCATAGAATCCCAGATGCGTAGATCAGTGCTCATGATGTTGATCACTGGACTGTCTTGTCCAGACTCGATTTTTTACAAACAGCTGCAATGAAGCTGGATTATTGCTGTTATTGCGGCGTTAAAGAATAAGCAACAACCAACCATCGACCAAATAGACAAATAGACAAATAGTCAAGAACCGACGCTGGCTTTCCATGACCGTTCCAACTAAGTCATCAAGCAATACATGCAATCAAATCAGTCGATTCGTGTGACAAGCGCAGGCTGCTGGGGATGTAACTGACATCTTGTCTTAAAACGGCCCTTAGATTTTTGTCAAAATAGATGAAAATGTCATCTGCACTAAGTTACCATTTTGTTGAATGATCAACTTTGTTGTAGGTGGTGAATTTGTTAATATTTTTGTCAGTACATCATAAACATATTGGGGCGGTGGGGTGGCCTAGTGGTTAAAGCGTTCGCTCGTCACGCCTAAGACCCGGGAGTAGTATGGGACTAAGGGTATGAGGACACCAAATTGCATGTAATCTTCCATAAAGATGAGGTAGCCTCCTTAATTTAATAAAAACATAACAAATAAATTAATTCGTAATTATAATGTTGAATAAATAACAGAAATATTGAATAAACAATACCAACTACCAGTCATCACTTCTCCTCTGAAATTGTGAACTAGCAACGCTTACTTTTATAGATTTCCAGTAGGTAGTCTTAGAAACGTCTGGGTATTTATGGGAACAGGGCGTACGTCTGACATCAGCAGCTGTCCAAACGACAATGAAACGACCCACGCGATGACACTGTATTTATTTGGCAGGCGCGGACGTCGGAGAGAACAACCAATTAAAACGATTGAAAATCGATTATAGCTCATCTGCACTCATTATTTGTGTTTTCATTAATCATTGTCTATTCATTTCTGGTCTATATTCACGTCTTATCTCCTATTATGTTTTAGATAACAACCACCATCTCCTCGTTCTTACGAGTTTTGGATGGAATTAATTGTTGATTAATAATTAATTGTTGAATTTAGGGTTTGTCATCGAAATGACACTACAAAATGTCAGTGCATAAAACGTAATTCAAAAAATGCTAATACAACTATCAATAAATGTATTGCTTTATTTACACGTGTAAATGACTGTAAAACTTGGCGGTTACGTTTTTATAATCATGATTTGCATTATAGTTGTGTCAAACGATATGAAAGGTTGGCTCACTAACACACTGACCTAGTTACAAGTCTATTATGTATAGCGAGACGAGTGGACAAAGTAAGACTGTCTTAAACACAAGCCACTGCAACACGAAATATATTGTTGGATACAAGTGGATGGTGTAAAACTATGTATAACCTGTGACTGTGTTCTGTTCAGCAGGGAGTACTTATGGATGACGCCTGTTACGAATCCGTACGAGAGTGAGGACCGTGTTTACATGGCAAGGCCTGTTTACGAGACCATGTGAAAAAATGTGACTGTTGATCTCATGGAATATTTAGAATATACCATCCTGTATGTCGATCACATGGATTATATGGAATATGCTATACTTTGGATACATGATAATTAGCAGGTGGGAAACAGTTTGAAATTGTAAGCCAACATGTATATAAAGGCTTATGTTATGATGTGATGTATCGTGAAAGTAGCATCTGTTGCTACTTAGATTTATAGGCTTATTAAATATTGTGTATAGAAGTTGTATATTGTCGTTGTTTATTTCGCCTAATAAGTTTACATTCATATGCGTTGGTCCCATTTTACAAACGGACGACTTTTTCATCATGGCGTCAGCCCACGCTATAAAGGACGCGAGCTATGACCTAGTTTCACGCAATGGCGGGAGGGGGATTCTCCCTCGTGACGTCAACCTAATGGGTAGCCTCTCGCATTCAGGGAGGCTACCAAATCTGTATGGAAGATAACATGCAGTTGGGTGTCCTCATACCCTTAGTTTGCATACTACTCCCGGGTTCGATTCCCCACAAGTGAAGCTCATTTGTGGTGTCCCCCGCCGTGATATTGCTGGAATATTGCTAAAAGCGGCGTAAAACTATATTCACTCACTCATAAACATATTAACACTCACATTCACACAAAATAAATGATTTCTTAATAGAAATATATGGATTCTTCAATACAACTGCGCCAATGGCTCGTTTGAGTTTGTCATGTAGAATAAATAATTCAAATTGTGGAATTCAAACTACATTCTCACCTGCAGCGTTTCTACACCTAGTCAACAGCGGGTATACTCATGTGTCGTTAGGATAGCGAGAGCACTGCATCTACTGGAGACTTATCGTAATGTGACTCCTATTAGAGGATACATCAGATGACATCCCACATCCGTTCACGGAACACAGGTCTTGTGAGTCATTCACATTTGAAGCATTGTAGTTGAAACTGAGAACTGGGTTTTCCCAGTCATCTCGTCTGAGCATTTCCCCTGTGTAAATTTGCTAAGCGGAGTGAACATTAATGATGAGTAGAAATATACAGAAATCACTTCTATTATATTCTCGGTTTGGTGTCTAGTTTAATATATATTATCTGTGCACATCACTTGATTGCCACGAATGTGTTCAGGTATATGATACTGTTAACACATGCATCATCAGCTGTTTCATTGTAATCTATCCTCGGTGCTTTATCTAATCATCTATCAGACTTGAGTCTACACAGAGAATTAAACGGTAGATGCTATGATCAACATCATCGGGTTACACTACCACAATCAGAAATATCATCGATCAGCAGCAATCAGTTTGAACACAGAATTAGAGAATAACCAACGAGGTACGAGTGATTACGGGAAATATGCCCGAGTTGAAATAATGTTCACAGTGCCGAGCCTTGGCGAGGCACTGAACATTATTTTAACGAGGCACATTTCCCGTAATCACTCGTACCTCGTTGGTTATTCTATTTATTACCCATAATGTAATTTAAAAGGAAGAACCACGAAATAAAAAACACCCGGAGACAGGACGTGTGACCTTAAACAGCTGATTCGTATTCATGCGCGTATTAAACCTAACTTCTCCAGCGGTAATAACATAACTACGCTATGGAAATAGTACATCATAAAATCGCTTTAAAATACAACAAAATTATTATGCCTGGAATAATTAATTAACATTTGTTAATATGATAAAATGATCTTTTAAATATATCATTGAACTTAATAAGAGCTAAACATTTATTCGATCAAGTCAGTGCGACGGAACATCGTTCATTCACGACTGACGTGTTTTCTAGTGACGGGTGACGGTGTAGTGTTGAAACACACTCTGGCAAAAACCTGTCAATTTTGGGGAAAGTCAACGGTTAAAAGTTGGGAATTCTAAAAGACAACCATCCCACGAACACGTCTAGAAAAAGTTTTCTGTCAAGAAACTCAACAAGTTTGAAGATTAAACAACATTTTGTTCTGTGGAAGGCGTGTTACACTCTCGTCTTAGTAGAGTACAGCAGTTCCAAGAAGGATAACTCTAGTCGGAATCCGAGTCTATGAAATCTGTCAATCTCTGTATCGGCTCCTGGGACGAACCTCTCAGATTAGGATTAGGAATGCATGGATATAAAAAGTCATCTTGAAGAAGAACATTTAGCACTGATTCCGGTAAGAAAGGAGCTGTTTTCTGGTTCGATGGCATGGACGCCTTGTCCGACTTACTTGTTACACTTTCAGATAACATCTTTGGTCGGTATCTTGCTGTTTCTATTTCCCCGAATTCAGTTTCAACAACAAACAGGTTTTGGGAATTCAAGGGCTGTAAAATTCTTATCACTCTTCCTATTTGGTCACCGTCAACTTTAACTAGATAAGTGACCTTGATCGGGGTTAGCCTAACGGTGGCCATGTTTGTTTACAAACAATGCAAACGATTGTTTGGTGTTTTTTTTAAAGATTATATAATTTAAAAAGACTATTTATAACGCAGTTTTATTCCAAAATAATAACGTCTAATAAAAAGAATATTCATATTCTTTAACCTTAAAGTTTTCTTTTTTAGATCTCAGAATGTGGGATTACATTACTTAATGTCAATTTATCAATGAATCGATGAAACTTTATGAATGAACGTAGTGTGTGAAAGTAGTTCCGGCATCCAATGAAAATGTACAAATATATGATCAACCAATCAACGTCGAGAATCACTAAATTGCACACTGTGCAAATATCAAAAAGATATTACACGGGATCTCCTCACCCGTATGGGTAATAATAGTATTTATCATCCAAAACTGGCTCCGACAGTACTTAGATATCGCTTGTGTGAGATCAATGCTATGATGTAATAAAGCTGATGACGTCACAATACTATGACCTCACTGCCGAATGGCAGTTTTGTGTTCAGATAAATTCATTCTTTTACTGATAACTGATGAAGAATGATTTGGGATGATAAACAGAATTTCACTCTCGTGTCTTCTGATATCAAATATATACACTCGTTAATTAAATTTAATCTATAAAGTCCTATAGGCTGTTGAGGTTGGATACTTGGCAGATGTGTCCTGGGGTGTATCATTTGGTAACCGCTGTATGCGTAGATATTATACGACATAATGTTATCTGATATAACCACCACCAATGTGATAAATAAATAAGAAATATTATGAATTTAGATTTTTTAGACGCATTACAGTATCCTTATATTTATCTTCATCACATGAAAGTGTTGATTTTCCGTAAGTGATTCCTCGGAATAACTTATGTCAGAAATGTAAAACGAAATACGAACGAATTGGGTCTCATAACATAGGGTATATTTGGAATTGCATTTTCTCAGTAAAGTACACTCGTTGGGTTGAATGCCATGCGGGATTCGAAACCACACCCTCAGTGCCAGGCACCTAATCGCCAGCATACAAAATCTGTTGTCAAACGCATTCAGCCACCGCGGCTTCCGCGAGAATCGGGTCTTGTCTGGGATGTAGTAAATTCAATAAGACGAGAGTATGTAGAGAATCCACCTCATATACATGTATATAGTCTCGTCTTATTGAATATGATATACTACGTCCTAGATCTCGAGCGAAACTGGACGTACACACATCTTGAGCCAACTGTAGGTACATACACCTTAAGCCAACTGTAGGTACACACATCTTGAACCAACTGTACGTACATACAACTTGAGCCTTGATAATTTACACGAGAGTATTTACAGCCGAGATTATAAGTAATATACTGAGAACAGGTTTTAAGTCTGAACTTTAAAAATGTCAATTGTGTCAGAGCTTTTAATATGTGCCTGAACCTTGTCAATCAGAATAAACAAGCCGTGAGGAGGCTATAACGTATGTAGAATCTGTCAGTGGTCTTGAATAACACGCGGCCTGCCTTTGGAATCCCCCACCAAATATGCGCAGTGAAATCAAACATACTTAGGGCTCCTTGCCTGTAGGCAGGAGGCCTATTGTAATCGTTCGGATTATTATTATTATTATTTATTATTCCGCCGATTTTTAACTCCTAAACCAATGCTCTGAATCGCTTACAAAAAATCACGCAGATGCGCACCGAGGTGTAGATATTCCCCTTAAAAATCTCTAGGTTCTTGGCCAGATAGCAAAGGGGAAATAATTCAAAATTAATTCCAAAATTGCAACGTTTGACAGCAAATATCTCAAGAACTAATTGTTCCAACACTTCCAAATTTCTTATGCAGATGCACAATCGAATTCCCAATTTTGCCTGGACGGGTCAAGTCGCTAAAACGTACCGTTTGGCAGTTATTTTTGTTTTCAGTTTTTGGCCATGTTTTCCAGCACTTTTCTGAGTAGTTTGCTCCACAAAGAGTGCCAGTATGGTAGATGATGTCCTGGTGATTCCAGAACACCCATTGTTTTGAACGTAGACCAAAGAAAAACTGAGATACAGCCTTTTAAAGAAGGAACTATTTCTTCTCCGGAACTACTTAAAAAAGGTACATGACCCCCGTGCCCCCGGTTGTATTTGGAAGATCCGATCGCCTGTCAAAACATGTGTTCTGGCTCCGTTTTGGACGATGATATCTAGCCCTCATATACAATAGATAGAAAGTAAAGCCAAGGAGACCTCATCGTTGCCTGCAACTATATTTGTATCTTTTTGCTTCAGAACATTGTTCACTTCACGGCTGTCCCTACTCTTAACCATGACGTTGCAATATTGTTGTACAAATGTGTTAAACCGACTCGCTCGGTTCTGTTCCCATGGCGACAGTGGTCAGACTGGCCTCACATTTGTAAAGCTTCAGTGCAGTGTTTGTTTACATCACAGAAATATACAAATTCATTTCATGGGGGATTTTAGGGGACGCCCACGGTGAAATGCTCGCTCTTATTTTTCACATAGAATAGGAAAGCCACCATTTTGGTTTCTCTACGATTGATTTTAGCTATCCTAAAATGGTCATGAGCCACTTAGACTTTGAATCTTAACTATACGATTGGCTTGGGTAAGATTGGTTAGTGGAACGGTAAGCCGATCGTAACGTCACACTAAGATTGGGATCTTAGGGGTTTACGATTGGAATAGGGCTAAGATCGGTTAGAGGAACGGCACCATGTCTTTCCAGCTGTAGCCTCTGAATTCGATGGACGTTTATTCGATTACGTCGGATTTGTTACAGTGTTTCCATACGAGGGACGTGATAACTCGTCTACTTATACTAAACATATTTCACAGTTTTCTAGCTGCGTATCCTCGTTCTTCGAATGCAATTCATCTACTTTGTGACAGGATTTTCTTGATTATCTCCCTTGGTCAAAATGCCATTTCTATAGTGATCTCCCACTCAGATACCATGTCGTAGTTCAACAAAATGACAACAGCATCAATCTTACAATGTTTTAGTTCCGGTATCAAGATACCAATCCTTTGTTCTCCTTGTAGCAATATATCATTTAGTTCACAGAGGCGGCTGTATGGAAGAAACTATACACGCAAAGCTACAACTGATACGTTCAAGCAGGACAGGATATTTGCAACTACCCATGAGTTAACTCTGTTTAAACATTGTTTTCGTTACATCACAGTTTGCAACGAATGAGAACAGCACAACCGGGATTCATCTTGAATTTGAACCCATGATCATGGCTTCCTGACAAAACAATGAGACGGATAGTATTGCCTATGATCCACATGTCCACCCGCTAACCCACGTTAACACATAAACTGAAGGCACGACACTTTCAACTTCCTTGTGCGTTACAACGACTCAAGAGTATTTATAACCAGACATCGCATCTCACCGACACAGCGCAAATCAAGTCTAAATCGTTATTTGAATGTCTGCTTGGTGTTTTAAATAACTGATTGAAACATAGAGTATGCTGTACCACAATTTGTAGTGTGATAAGACACAAAAATTGTAGCCTTGTTCCAAGGTTGTACTGAATGATAGGCCCATGTATGGTAATTCTATCCTTTCCAG